AAGAGAGAGAGAGAGAGAGAGAGAGAGAGAGAGAGAGAGAGAGAAAGAGAGAGAGGGGGGGGGAGAGGCCCAGGGTGTTCCGCTAGTGCGGTACTCCACACTCCACGAGTAACTCACTTCTTGCTCGTGAATGCGGAGGTCTTCATGGTTTCGCCGAGTCTCCTAACTGGGGATGGAATGGAACGTACTTGGTGGATACGGGAGGAGAATGGAGGCCGCATTAATAAAACATTAAGGTTTTGTAGACGATGTATCGATGTAGTGTTTATATTATCTTCTTTGATGTCGACATGTGAATTGGACAGATTTGTTATTCAGACTCCGTACATAAAAGTGCTGAAGTCTTGCTCCGCTCCGTTTGTGGACAGCGCGCGTATCGACGACGACAACTCGGACACCGACGAACGGCTGGACAGACGGACAGGCGGACGGACGGACGGACGGACGGACGGACAGACGGACAGACGGAGGGACGGACAAACGGACGGACGGACAAACGAAACGAACAAACGCGAGCATGGATGGATGAACGCGGACAGCCTGCTTCAAGTCCGTGCTCCGCTTGTCAGTCAGTACGTAGAAGAGCGGTTCTTATCCGCGCGCGCGCGCGCGCGCGCAGTCAGTTCACCGCTCACTCGGAAAACTGTTTCCTGCAGTTGGAATATTTTTCCACGTTGCCTCGTGAAAGAGATGAAATATATCGCGAAGACAAGAGAAATGAGTTCTTATGAAGGAATTAAAATCTATCTCATTGGAGTCAGCGGAAGAAAATAGCCGTGCGGCAATGTGACGGACAGGGAATTCTTTTTGCTTCCTTTCTTCTGCAAACGCGAGAAAATTATCAACGGGAGAAGCGTATCTTCCGTGCGTGACCTCTTTGGAATTCCGTCTCGTATTGTTGTAAAATACGTCTCGATGGCGAATTATAGCACGATTGCCCTTACACCTTAATTTCACAACGAACGACCTACACCCACTCGTTTCTTCGAGCCGCGTGGTATCGACATTCTTCGCGATGTCGTGCTCGGGACTCCGCGATCCCCCTCCCACTCTCAACACGGTACTGTGATCCTGAACCTTGACTCTTCATTAATCACCCCGTGGTATCAATGACTGACTGAGTGACTGACGGCAGGCGAGAGGTATTATATACCTACGGTGTTCGCGCGATGCGCTGATGCTCGTCGTGGGGATCTTTCTCGTGCCTGATAAACTGACGAAGAGAACCGAAAACTTTCTTATGCTTTTCCTCGCCATCTTGAACAGAACCTAAAAAAACAGCTTATTAAGAAGAAAAAGAGAGAGAAAACTACAATGTTACAGTATCACCGATGTCGATCCTTAACTCGACGTAGAAGAAAAACACACATTTCGCGTTTTACACACACTTAAAATTTCGTTGAGAAAATCATTTACGTGGAAATCAGATTGCTCTTGAAGCAATTAAATTTCACGCTGTACACTGATTGCGCACGCCAATTAGAGTAACGAGCGAGTTAAATGTCGCGTGATGTGAAGTATATTTAAAACTCCAGCCGCTCTACCAGTCTTGACTTCTACTTTCCGATAAAAAAGCAGTTCAATTGGATCGAAAGGTCACGACCTTACGGTGGCCGGCGCCACAGTGAGTTTACTCTTCATTTATACGGTACTCCGTTACGGACCAAACACTGAAAGTCACGGTTACCTTCTCGCAGTCTCTAACAAAGGTGCATCTACAGCCCAATCGAATATGCCGCGTCATCGTCGGTAGCTTAGACGATCTGATCATCCCGGTGAGTCTTGCGACGGATCGTGACTTGCGTTAAGGCCTTGTCTTCTCTTGTCTTCTTGTTACATGACTCCTGTCTGTTTCTGTAGTTTTCGAGGGTGTGAGTATGCTTTATCACACACGCCTCCTTGTAGGCCGATACGTGATTCTTATCACGGTAGCTTTCAGTCAGAACAAAATGTGAACTAGTAGAGAGAGTGTGCGTATTCTATGAACGCGAGACGATATCGTTTAGACCGCGCCATTGGCCGGCAGGCCGATCAATTTCATACTTCGGCCGCGAAATTATGCGTATATTTGTTGCATGCAATAAATATATAAAGATAAGTCGGGAAAGTGTTTTCACGCGGACACGACAACGTAGAAACAAGTACAATCGAATTGAAATGTTAATAGTGAAACTGACATGCGTCTAACTATGCTGTCGATGTAATCTCTGGTCGGCATCTAATCGAAATCTGACTAATGGTAGCAATATAATTTCAGACGTTTGCGTAATTGAAATAATGAAACGCGTTATTAGTAAAGAAGAATCTGCACCGTGATGGAGATAACCTCGCGCGACCACCGCGTGATCTTTCAACTCCGACACTATCGTGTTTTACGTACGGAGAAATAAAAGAAAAAAAGAAAAACATGCGCCAAATATCATATCGACAATTATAAGCACAGCAATTATCGCCGTGCAGGACGTGCGTCACGATTGGCGGCAGTACTTTACACCCCGCCGGGGCCTGTGACTCTCTTTGTTGTTTGTACTGTTGTTTGTACCGTTACACTGATGTGTCTGACAAGTTTTGGAAATTGTGACACATCATATCTTTGTTTTCCAGTCTCCTTGGAAAGAAAGAAACATCGATGATTTCTGTACGTCATACCATTTAATAATTACAATTTAAATTATATAATTATACGATCTTACACGTACGGTGCTCTAGATTACGTAGATGTAGTAAGTAGGTATTTTTAGTTAGACTATTACGTATATTACATGGAATGAAGTAACATTTGAGTGACGCTACGCGAACGTAATATTTGAGCTTAATTTAACTCGGAGAACGCATCCTTTGCACCTGACGAGTAAATAGTAAATATCTGCAGCTTTCGTTTCACCTCTCACGTCAAACCGCGGGCACATACTACGAACGACTCTGAATCGATTTTCGATAAGCATCGAGATAGCACAACTACGTATCCCGCGATGTATCTCGTGTAAAAGAGTTATTCAAATCTCGCATCACATTTATGCACATCGTCTATAGGTACGGAACGTGTTGCACGACACGCGGCGTAAACAACAAAAAAAAAAAAGTAATAACGAAACAAATAAAATACAATATTAACACTGGACCAAGTCATTAGTAACAGACTCACTCTCAATACAATAATAGAGATAATATCAAGAATTTCAATATAATTATAATGAGATGATGTGATAATAATAATAATAATAATAATAATATTAATAATAATAATAAAATCCTCACTATATACTTTATTTAAATATTCTTATAATGTACTAGGCGATAACGAAAAAAATTACGGTTTCTTCTAGATGCATTCTGGCGTAAGAAAAATTATCCTTTTATATTGTATTTTGAATGACGTCTCTCAAAATTGTTGGCGCAAATACAGTTCCGGTATCGTGCAGCTTGCTTTCGATCGATTTACTCGCAAGAGTTGAGTTCAGTAATATTTTACCTAGGCTTAATCTAATTCGTAATTCGCGTACGACGAATAAAAGAGGGCCTTTTTCATTAACGCCTCGTACACAGTAATAACGTCATTCGATATCGTGTTATATATTCAATAATTATGTACAATTCAGTACTAATCTAATTAAAAGATCTCTTTTTTTTTCATTTGTATCCTTCCTCTCTTTCTTTTTCCCTCTCCCTCACCCCTCCCTCTCCTCTTCCTCACTCTCTCTCTTTCTCCATTTCCTTCTCCCTCCTTCTCTTTCGCTTGTATCGCTTAACATATCTTGACATACTAAATTCCCTGTATTCTTCCGAATTTGCATCGCGTAATGCGCGGTTACGATAATTTGATAAGCATAGAGCGACTGCTTTTAAACGTTCCTTCTGTTGTATCACAAGATAATCAGTTACTTAGATACTACCTAATTAGTATACATACTTGCGCTCGCTTCCCGGTTAACTAGTCAATATCCAATCGCCTCTTACCGATTCATGCGGAGTAATACGTTTCTTCTGTTACACAATCACACACCTATGTATATCCTGTGTATCGATAAGTACGCGCAATCAGGTGGCACGTACATGCGATCTGCGTTGGATATCCAGCGCGCGGCATGCACATATACATTGCACCATCAAAGTTATTACACACACCCGCAACGTAGCGAGTGTCATTTATCCCGTTCGACCGCACAAAACATTTTCTCTTCTCTCTGTTATCTTTTTCTCGTTCATTATTGTATAGTAATCGGACTTTAGATATGGTTATAGAAACTAATCGGATTTCTATAAGGGTTAAGATTAATATATCTTGAGGCGAGAGAGAGAGAGAGAGAGAGAGAGAGAGAGAGAGAGAGAGAGAGAGAGAGAGAGAGAGAGAGAGAGAGAGAGAGAGAGAGAGAGAGAGAGAGAGAGAGAGAGAGAGAGAGAGAGAGAGAAACAATAGTAGTCCATCTGACATATCGATTGCGATAAAATGCTCGATGCGGTAGAATAAAGAAAGTGAATGTTAAATTCTGCGCAAGATCTGTCTACGTACCAACAATTTAGGAACAACGTGGCTGCTCCAGAGAGACGTTGGTTACACTTTGCTGTGAATTATGTACAGAGAAAATTGTTGGGCCTCAGCTGCCCACCGTTTCGTCAATCGCACAATAGGACCGTAAGATTGTAAGACAAGAGCATTTTATGACACGAGAGTTCATTTCCGGGAGAAAACGGTGCACGTGAATTATGGGATTCAATTTCTTTCTTTTTCGCACGGACTCCTGTACATCGCGTAAATTAATGTACAAAGGGATTAAGGTATATCTAGGCGTTTTATACGAAAAATAGTGGAAATGTAAACACATATGTAAATATGTAATTATGATTCTGTCATAGCTTTGCGACAATTGCAGTATTTTAATCGCGCACGTGCAAATTATGCTGTATGAATATCTCGTCGTTACTCTACTAATATAGTGTCGCGTCAGAGCCGTTCCTTACTTCCTAGAATACTTCATAAAGTCAGCATAATTTATACGTAATCGTGGATTTTCCAAAGTCATTCCTTTGTATTCAGGATTCAACGGAGAATAGTTCGAGTATTAATTGGCGTCTTACAAGCTACAAAATAGAGACTTTAGTGCAGATAGAAACGATGTTTCTCTGTGGGGCTGTGTTTTGGTCTCTTTCGCAGGCTCCATTTATTCGATAAATACGGACTTAATTTTTCTTTTAGAAAAGACCAAACAAGGGAATAACGCTCGGAAGAAGAAACAATAAATAAGTACATGAGCGGCATTCTCCCGATTTCATTTCCGTCGGTTCATTCAGTACAAATGAAACAGTGTGCAGCCAGACAAGATAACTGATTAATTTGTTATTAGATTAATTAATTACTTAGACCGCAAATTTCTACATCTTAAGCTAGAGTTTCGGTTTCATCTCACCCGCTGAGGTGGCCTCTCATTCGCTTTAGTATCAGTATTTTATAATCTCATGCGTGAGAGCCCCTCGGAGCGCGTCCAGTCTATTAAATCGGGCGTACGGCGCTACGTGTGCAGAAAATTTTGGCTTCCCTTCAACTTCGAATAGTCGTATAGTGACAGTGACTTCGTGTCCGCAGACGAATGGGAACGGATTGTTGCCTCTGCGTCTCCTAAGAGAGAGAAAGAAAGAGAGAAAGAAAGAGAGAGAGAGAGAGAGGGAAGGAGGGAGAGGGAGAGGGAGAGAGAGAGAGAGAGAGGGGGGGAGGAGATCCTCCTTCCTAATTTCCCGGATGTGCCAACGCGAGCCAATAAATATGTGAAACAATTTAAATACAAGATTAAGGAGCGGAAGGAGGATGTAATCCGTCCCGGCCACGGCGACAATCCGTTACCCAGCAGCATATCGCGCTGCATATCGCGGCGAATCAGCGGAACGCACCACGTGTCCTACTGGAAGTGAAGTCTCCTCGACCCAGTCCAAATCACGTGACGCGAGGGTCCGTGACGTGGCGCAGGGTCCAGGGCGGAAAAAGCCTTTAGAAGTTCTGCTCGCCGTACATCCCGGGGAACCGGACAGAGTGTGCTCCGAGCTCGGCGGGCGAGAACTCGTCCTATGTGGCCAAGTGAGCGAACTGACCAGGGTGGGGCGCGAACTGGTAAGGGTGACCGTACGGCGACATGTGGTACGGCACGATGTTCATACTCGCCATCTTGTGCTCCTTCTTCCACTTCATACGTCGATTCTGGAACCAGATCTTTATCTGACGCTCTGTAAGACAGAGGGCATGCGCGATCTCGATGCGACGCCGCCTCGTCAAATAGCGGTTGAAGTGGAACTCCTTTTCCAGCTCCAAGGTCTGGTACCTGGTGTACGAGGTCCTTTGCCGTTTCGTCTCGCCGTTGGCATTCACCGTACCTGGAAGTCGAAGGGACTCGTTATTGTCGCGCGAGAGGACAACGGACGGAACAAGCGTGAACTCGGTGGAAATAATCGATATGTCGCGGAGAGATAAGTCGTCAGATCTCCCGCCGCCACGTGTACGAAATATTTTTACATGCCGATTCTCGCGGGTGCAAAGTAAAACGTTTAAAGCGCGCTGTTTCGCGGAAAGGAAGATTTTATCGCGAGCGGCCAACGAGCGGAGAAGCGCGAGAGGCTGAATAAAAGATGGGGTTGAAAGCACAGAGACGATGCATATTACTAAGGGCCAGGCGTGCGACGCGTGACGCCCTCGTTAATTATTTTAACGAGTCGTGGTTAATGCCTCTAGGCTAGCGCTACTGGATTGCAAACTGGTCACTTGGCAGCTGCTTTACCTATTTGCTCCGCACGCCTCAGCCATAAATAATTTTGCAACGCTATTATTACGATACACCGCGCACACCTATTACACACCTATTTCCTAAGTGCCGCAAAAATTGCCGCGGACTCTGCCGAACAACACCAGAAATAAGCCTCGCCGTAGCCTCGATTCTCTCGCTCTGTGTGATACGCGCGCATAAATCAATTTGACATTGGGTAGTCAATTTTTTTTAATCCAAAATGAAACATATTTGTTGTATAAAGTGGAAAACACGTAATACTATTCACTGGAGACTGAACAGATAAAGAGTACTGTAATATTTTAAGTACTTCGATAATGTATTAAAAGCGAAGGGAACGGGTGGAGAAATAACGTCGTTCCACAATTGAATTGGATGAAGCAGATGGATCGTACCTCTTCACTGCTTCACGGTTTTCGACTCATGAAAATATTTTATACGGTGCCCGTGTATTTCGACGTGACCAATATACCAAATAACTTCTGCCCTCCTGGCTAACATAGGCTCCGGTTTGATGTTTCAGCAGGTGTTGCGCGAGCAAGGGTGCGCTTTTAGGTTCATTGTGAACACGGGTCATTGCGGATATTAAAGAGCCGGCTCATTTACAGCTATAATGGATAGCTATTAATAGCGCGGGACAAGGGAGAGGAGTTGATGAGTCGTATAGATAAAGATGCAGCTAAGCAGGAAGTACTGTGCGAACAGCAGCAAGAAAGTCGCGCAACAAATGCGCCATTTGTATAAACCTTCGCTGATTCATAGTCGAGCACACGTGCGGAAATATATGATAGCGGGATATATACGGCACGTCGAAGCTTGCTCTTGGTGCAAACGCGAATGAATATTTGTCACTACTGCACTTCGGAGAGTACACAATCTTTGATCAGTCAACGTTCCATTGATATCTTGATTACGCATAATGTTAGCAATAGGTCGTACAGTAATATTTAAGTAATACGTCTGAGAATTTATTCCACGAGCTTGAGCAACGGGCACTTCCGCGGGAGCGAAAAGCTCTCTCGCAGAGAATGGTTAACCAGCGAACATTGAACAACGAAGCTCCTACCGAGCTTAATGACTGGACCCTTCACCCAGCGTTATCGCTTTCCTCCCGATGTAACACGTCGCTGGGTCGTGCGACGTGACTTTTTAATAAATAGTGTTCTGGTTGTCTGAACACGGGCTCGCGTTCGGTCTGCATATCGTTTATCCGACATACCTACCCGTTTTGTAACCGACAAACGGAATTCCCTTTTTCATTCACTCATTATTGCACGACATTGCGGGTCGTTGATTAAAAGCAACTTGGTAGCGATAATGAGAGTTGCGAAAGCGGTGTTTCTTGTATCGATACATTTCAATTTCTCATGGTTGAGCCGATTGTCACGTTACGCAAGATTGTCTGAAGGTCGAACTAGTTTTTATTATTTATTATTATCCAGCCTTTTATCGTTGGTGTACATCACTCTTCCCTTGCTGTTAAACAAAATGACCACAGCTAAAAAAATCGATGTTTCTTTGAAAGGTGCACCCTTGATCTTTTCTGGTGATAAATTGCTATCTGTATCTCGTCGACATCGATACAACGCACGTTGATGCATAAAGGAATGTACTCGGTGAAGGTTGGTGAGAAAGTTCTCGACGATGCTCATATGCGATTGAAATATGTTTCTTAGACGCACCGTGTTAATCCCTCCAGCTAATACTGCACAAGACAGATCAGGATACGCTCTCGCCACGCTTTGCTTGCTGCCTACGACGCAGTCGGAGTTTTTTTTATCGTCGCGGCAGAAATATGTGCTGGGATAATAATCCCAGTACGGCGTGATTGTTAAATCGTCGGATATTATTTAATCTTCGGTGCGCGATCGTGATTGATCATTTTTATTATTTTCATGCCTTTGACGCATTAAAGCACCGTGGTAATCGCTGACCCGATTAAATTTCACGCGTGTCAGGCACACCTGTTTAATTAGCATTTAGATTCTATCGGGCGTGATCTCGGTAGTTATTCTCGCACTATAAATTCTTAAGCATCAAGGGGAGTACGAGCCAATATGTTATTGTAACGTGAATTTCCGTAATCATACGCATGGCTTGCGTTATATATCTCCCGGTAATAAATTTCGCAATCGCATTGGATCTTAAGCAGATGCAATGGGAACACTTCCTACATTCGCTCTCGTAAAGACGTGAAGGATTTTCTTCTTACACTTTCCTGGTGAATTCTTATCTTCTTCGAAGAATAACGAAAACACTGCCATTGCAAATAAATTAATTAATTAATGTACATATATATGTATAGTATACATATATATATATATATATATATATATATATATATATATATATATATGTATGTATATATTTAAAGAAAAATAATCAGCGATATGAAGCAACATTGTCAGAGTAATTTCTACATCCAGACAGTTACTCGAGTACTCGGAGCTAAAAAAGCTGCTGATATCCGGATAATACTTATATGCCATCTATTGTTAATTTTCACAGCAACTGTTTTTGTCTGTTGCTCTCTTAAGGTACTCTTAACTTAAACTTATAAGTGAGATACTTGGGAAACGTTTGGATGATTTGCTTATCGAGGTTGTATCCGGACATCCGGATACTGACATCATTGATATGAGCGATTGAGCGACGTCACGCATACTTGCTTGGAAATCCTGGGAAATTACTTTCAGTCATTGATTATTAGCCTCATCATCAGTCAGTTGGTCATAATTGATTGCTAATATTGCTGATTGCTAATATTACTGATTGCTAACAGTGCTGATTGCTAATATTGCTGACATCGTGTTATTTAACGTGTTCGTATCATGTAATATTTGTAAAAGAATATTAATTATGGTATTTGAAACATTTAAGACGAATCTGAAAGCTACACGACACGAAAATACGTTAATAACACATTTTCATATGGATATTTCCCGATATTTCACGATATATATGCTCCACGCATTACTTTCTCCCTTTTAAGCAATATTTTGCTATATTATACTGAGAGAAAAATGTATGATATTTGGAACTATAATGGCATAGTAAAAATATTATAGTTAGGAATATAATTTTAATAATAAATGTTACCATAATATTTGTAATATTTACAATATAAGTATAGTATAACTGATCCGTGTAAAATTTTTACCAAGAATTATAATTATTTGAAATAAAAAATATGATAAGGTGGCAAATATTGAATGGTAAGAAGAATTAACTATTTTATAAAGTCAATACAATTGGAATATTTGGCAAATATAGGTACATGTAACCCAAAAGGTGCTTTACCATACATATAGAGTAATAAGATGGTGACTATAAATCTGTGTTCATTCTACTATATCTTCATGTTTAGATGAACTATAAATATATTTGTGGCCAAAACAAACTATAAAATATAGTGAGATTACAGTTATTCCAACTATTTTTTCTCTCAGTGTAGAATAAATTTTTATTGAAAATAATTTTTTGGAAAGTGTAGCAATTGATTAAGCTTGTTGTATTAAATTCATCGGGTCCTTTGTACAAACGTCCATTAGAGGACGGATAAAAATTCGACTGGAACAAAGGCGTTTAGCATCTTTAGCCGTGCAATGAGAGACGGAGAAGCCAGGGGAGCCGAGGTGCGCATAGTCGTCGTCGTTGTAAGACCGAGGCAGGCTAAGCGCAGGGCCGTGTCGTGTCACCCATCTTGATGTCACCTCGTGTCGTCTAGCGTTTTCGTGCCTCGCTCTTAATAGAATGCAGAGCGTGCGTGTATTTGCACCGAAGCCTGTACCAAACGTGTCACCGACTGCCAGCCTGACGACTGTTCTGACTGCCTGACTGACAGATCGGCTGGTTAAGACTGACTAACACGTGACCGGGATAATCCCGTGCAGTGTTCACGGCATGTCTGATTGATCTTCCCGGTTTTTAATACACATTTCAACGTTTCCCCATCGTGCTTTGTCCGATCTTCAAACCTGCAGATCTCGTTCACTACGTGTGTGTGCAATATATGAATATTAAATTTAATATAAATTATAATATGCGATGTGGCCTCCCTATATGTGTGTGGACAATTAATATCGCGTGTCAGTGGTAGTTTTCATAGATATTTATTATATAACGTCAATTATTTTTTAACAGATAATAAATCAGATTACGTTGAAGAAGGAATCAACATACCTCACGACTGCAATCTCGGTGTATTGCATTCCGCAATTCGTGCGTGTGGGTGTATTTGTATATAGATATATATATATATATATATATATATATATATGAGCGCAGTATATCGGTCGGGAGCAAGTTCTAAGAAAGTATATATAGAATTCTTGCTACCCCTAACCCACGGAACGTATCTGAGTGGTTATCTGATACGAGTTCAAGCACGACCGTATCAATTCTTTTCATCTACGCGATCGACTTAGGAATTCCAAAGAGGCCAATAAAAATTCGTAAGTTTCGCGACGTAATGAACAGCGGAAGTAGTTTCGAATCCCGATGTCATTAGAGATATCAGCCGAACGTCAATTTGGTGCAGCGCTCATTGTCACGTTCTCATTAAAATAAGAAGCATCGCTTTAATTTAATATC